GTTGACAGTTGGACTCGATGATCTTAGAGGTCTTTTCCAACCTTAATGATTCTATGATTGTCCCAATAGGTCCCTTCTTCCTAACTTTAACCTCCACACATCCGGATCCCCAAGAAGTAGGTTTGTTTTAAATACGGGTCTCTACTTCAAGAAACATGATGTTGGCATCCAAGGTTTAAGATTTACTTTTAACACAGTTTACAAATACACAGCAGAAAATCTGAAGTAAAAATAAAGATTCACAGCAAGAGAATTTAACTTTTTACTTGGTCAGCCCAATAGGTCCCTTCTTCCTAACTTTAACCTCCACATCAGGATGACCCCAAGAAGTAGGTTTGTTTTAAATACGGGTCTCTACTTCAAGAAACATGATGTTGTTTCAGAACATCATGAAGTGTTTCAGAATTACAGATTTGAAACAAGGACAAGAAATCCAAGACTCGGAGCCTGACAAAACAGCAAGCAACGGTTGTATAAAAACTCTTAAAATCTGAGGCAAACAATTTTTAGAAGCAGTGCGCTGCAAGTCATTTAAACCTGTATAATTTAGAAAAACAGAGGTAGCAGAAAATTCTGACTTCACCTGTTTATTTTTCTCCTGTGGTTAAAGGAGAACTGACTTAGTATTTGAGTCAGCTCACTCACCTGTACTGATGTTCAATCCCAAACAGTTTTCCAGTAGCATAAGGGTGACAGAATCTTTCACGTAAAATTTTTTGCACCTATGGGTATAACACAAGACAGAAAGAATGCTTGGTGCTTCAAACACCAGAATGTACCAATAATGTAATTACTGCAATAAAATAATAGTAAAATATGCATGTTTCCGTGGCGTTACAAATAGTCTGCAACACATAAATTTTAATTGTCATTAGTGATATAGGGGTCTTGAAAGTAAAAATAAAGTTGCAGTAGGCAGAATATTTAACAGACTCCCTTGTAGCAGAAAAGAGAAAATTCAATTAAGTTATAGCAATATGTGTCTTTGGTCCCTTCTGCTACAGTTTCTTTCCTTCACCCCCAAAGGGATGTTATACTTGTCACCAAAATTACATGAGTAGCTCATCTAATTCATAGTTCTAACTTACTGTGCAATACAGGCAAGAAACATTTACCAGCTGACTTAAATAAAACCTAACCCACTTAGTTATTCCCCCAAATCCTCAGTGAATACACTTTTTGCACCACTCGCAACAACGTTGCAGCCTACCATATTCAAGCATTAGAAAGTATCAAATTTACAGTTTCTTCCAAGATTCAGTTCAGATACCTTGTTCCTAAAAGTTTGGAAGGGGGGCAGGAAGTAGTATGAAACTGAAGCTAATATATTGCTTACAAAGGATGGAATGAAGTCTATCCAGCTCCATTTTTAGATCAAGTTCTGAAGTCCTTCAAACTGCACAGTGAATACAGTTATTTTAACTATTAATTTGGATGTATTGCTTGGGATATCTTTAGATATACGTCTGCCCTGACTTCTGCCTTCCACCTTAAGAACTGTTACTTAAAATTGTATCTTCAATTCCCAAACAGCCAACCTTCAGCATCGTAGCAGATTTCTTCCTACCACTTGAGTAGCAGCACGCAAATCGGACAATCCCAATTTTTAAGAATTTACAGGACTCTATCCTACTAATCCTCCCCATCCCTCATTTAAGCTATCCTAAAATACCGGCATACTCCATCCTTTTATAACGTTTGGTGTCCAATTTTAGTACTCATTGTCAAAGAACTTCAGAGACTAAATTGCAAACTGAATGAAGTGAGTTTCCTTTAAAATCAAATTTGAGCACCTTGCTTCAGTCTATGTGAACATCCGTTTGACCTAAAAACTAACTATACCGTTATCGTGCACATCTGTGTCGTTGCTTTTCCATTCCCTCAATCTGAGTTGCCTCATCTTCCCCCCAATATAGTTTTTCTCTACATTCTTCAGTTGCACCCCGTAACTGAGTCCTTTTTCATTTCTGCTGAATCCTAAGAAATCATGAAAAAGTGCAGTGTTCTATCCCAGGTAAACATAGACCAAGGCAATACTGTACCGCAAATGTTTTGCGTTTCTTTCACCTTAGGTAGTAGTTACTCGTTCATGCCCGGTTTAGCCGACCAGTCACTGTCCTGGGGCACATTACTAACAGGCTTTTAGTATCTTGAAAATATGCCTTCTTCTAACACTTAGCTAATTTATAATTTATGATGGAATTATCACCATCAGCTCTCAGTGGTTTTGGTTTAAAAATAAATACATGTGGATGCATCTTTGTGAAGTACTCCTCAGCAAGTCTAAATAATGGATAGAAGAACAACAGAAGTCTATTTTGCTAATAATTCCACTTTATGAAAGGAATTCTTTTTTAATACGGGCTGTACTTGTCTACCTAGGTTTTCAGTTACTTTTTCTTCTACTAAAGTCTTACTGATTTAGTTTCCAGATTTATTCTGTTTTAATGAATAACCTATCTGAACAGTCAGCATTGTCCATTCACAAGTGAAAAGGTTTTCCTCCTATAAAGGGATTTTATAGGTAAACAAAGGAAAGCTATTAAAACATAAGAAATCACTGAACCGGAGGTAATTCACTACAAGATGCATCACGGTTTTTAAGTAGCCACTGAGAAAACAGAAGAATAAAGCTTAGAAAAACCCCACCAAACTGAAAACTGATTTGGCAGCTGCTGTCCTGCATAACCTAGGCTGTTAAAAAAAAAAAAAAGTCACCCACATTCTGATTCACCCAACAAACTGCAAGATAAAAAATCTGATTAGATAAAAATAGATTTATGTGAATCTGTTGCTACAAACAGCTGTGAAAGAGCAAGACCATCCTTCACCATTTTTATTAAGCCTCCAAAAAGTAGATCATTACTATAACACTTGAAGAAAGCAAACATCAGGCGAGAAGCTGAAAGAAATACAGAACATAAATACAAAAACCATTTACAGCCCTAGAAATTACATCAACTATCTGTACATGCCTTTTTAACCGGTCTAGTAAAAAACTACAGAATGACATGGATGCCAGAGGATGGAAAAAGTTTCATAACTTAAAACCAAAGTCAGCTAATAAAGATATCACTAACCTGTGAAATGCATCCTCCATTTGCTCCACTGCTCTCCTTTGACTTACGTCTACTCATTGCAGAAGTTTTCATCTTTAAATAAGGAAGAGAATATAAAGGTTATACTAAATTACTCTGTTTTCCAAATAATTATGTTAGAAACTCTACTTCGATGTTAGTAAACTAAATTTAGTACAGCAAACACAAGACAGCTGCTCACTCGTAAGAGCTTAAGTTGTAACAAACATCGTTTCTTAACTGATAAAAATGTAGTAGTTCACCTTACTAGTAAAAAAAAAAAAGAAAAAACAACTTAAGCATTTTTAATTCATTTCTGATTAGATGAAATCCATGTTTACATACAACTTCTGAACAGCATTTGTTTTAGGATGCTTCAATGCAATGCAAACAGTACCTAATGCAACTGATATGAAAGTTTTTCTTCAAGTTTTCTTCCAAGTTGATCTAGCAAGTTCTTAACGGCAACGGTGACATTCACAGGTCTGTGAATGACATACCGAGTTCCACTAAGACAGCATGGCTACACACAGGCTGATCTTGCACAGAACCAGGAGTGGCACAGCTCGGGCATTTACACTTCAGAGACGTTATCGTGAACAACCAAATCGATACTCTTCAAGTAAGTTGTGCGAACAAGTGACATTTGTGCACCTTCTCCTCTGACCAACCACCGAGTGTAATTTTGTTCATTTTAATTGCGTTTAAGATGGTTTGAAACAATGTATTTCTGTTTCTGCAGCTGGAACAAGCTACAGGCACGTGGTAACATGTTAAGTCACCACAATTAGGTTTTTATAGGAACAAATGGCTATCCGTGTTTATACTGGTGCAGCTTGTAACAATAACCACAGTGCCTCTGCCTCTCTAGATTAGCAGCACGAGTGAAAAACAATTCTCCTTCTCTGTGCTAGCAGAAAGCTTCCAGGACTCGCTCCGCTGCAATTTACGCTTATTTTAGCGCAGCCGTTTCCCTCTTCTCCCAGTTTCGCTCCTTCTACTGTAAGGCCAGCATCGTTCAGTCCCCGGGCGCAGCAGCTATGGCTGCAAAGGACGAGATCGGCTGCTAAAAAACACGTGAATGAAGAAGTCGCTGCGGGAGCAGAGGCGCAAGGCGCGGGAACACAAAGCTGGAGAAGCTGAACCGAAGCCATTACGTTATTTCAATCGGAACAGCAAGACCACCGGACGAGGAGCGTGCCCGTCCCCGTTTTTTATCCGGGGCTCGGGAAGGTGCCCGTCCGTTTTTTATCCGGGGCTCGGGAAGCTATACCGAAGCACCGCGGCCATCAAGTGCCGCCCACACCCCCCGCACACAAAGGCCCCCCCCCCCCCCGCCACTTCCAGCTGAAAAATCCCCCCGAGCGCCTTGTGTTGTGCCGCCTCGCCCCCCGCCGCCTGGGGGACGCGCCGCAGCGGTTCAGCGGT